TCTAGTATCCACGACATTCTGCACTATATTCCCTTTGATACCAAAAACAGGAGTTTCCCTTGCACCAGGAGCATTCTTCAACGGCATGCCAATCTTTCTCCTCAATCTTTTATCATAATCTGCCCTTGACATGACTCTCGCTTCCTCCTCCCAATCATCCATTATTGCGTAGGACTTCCTTGTTCGCTCCCCCTTTGCGCTTTTCGATGGTAACTTTGATCCATCGTCCGTAGCATCCAGCCCGCACGCTTATACTTCTCTGTCCCTTTTCGGCGTCTTAGAGCTCACCGCCAGTGCCATTTGGATTTCGGTTCTCATCTCTGCTCTGAAGTTACGCAGTGAGATCCCTTGAAACCGCCACTATCATTCGTAGCTGCGCTGCTTCAATCTTTTTGTCTCTTCTATCCCATTCCTCGATCATTCTTTATTCGGATTCGGCAAACATCCTTTGAATCTTCTCTTCCCGCCTCTCCTCTTCCAGTTGCTACCTTCTTCGTTCGGCTTCTATCTTCTTCCTCTCTTCTTTTGCCTTCTTATTCTCCTCTTCCTACCCACACACACCGACTACCGTTTTCCCTCGATCACAAACGCACCCTCGTTTTCACGGAAGGAGGACGGAAACTTACCTCGTATGATTTCATTTTCAGGGTGCGTTATCTTCGTGGAAGACGGTCAGGCATGTGCGACCCTTCCGCGAACTTCGCACCGTAGATGTGACAGCCCCCCTTCCCCCCGTCGTGCACGAATTTTTTCTTTTTTTCCCCCCGTCGCACACTGCTTCTCGGCGTGGTCTAGTTGAGCCCTAGAACCGCGTTAACTTCTTTTTCTGCGAAATGACCAGATGCTTTGTACAAAATTGAAGCAAGAAAAAAAACTTACATTATGAAAAAAAGAAAGAAAACAATTCTTCTCTTCTTTTCTTTTCTTTTCTTTTTTTTTTTTTTTTTTTTTTTCCCCAACAAAACGAAAGAAAACAATTCTGATAGCTGGCTGGTTCGGGACGTAAAAAAAAAGCGCAGTGCATCGGTCGACAACTGGACGACATAGCGCGCCCAACACGCTACGCGTAGATCCTCCTTGGGGCAAATGCTCGCACTAGAACCTTCTTGCTTATTCTTGGACGTGATTGCCGTGCTATGCATCTCGCCGTAATCGCCGTCAGATTCATTTTGAAAACTCCCGAGTGTGAGTAGCGCCTCCTAGAGCACGGTTGGACGTGATTGCCGTGCTTTGCATCTCGCCGTAATCGCGGTCAGTTTCATTTTGAAAACTCCCGAGTGTGAGTAGCGCCTCCTAGAGCACGGTCCCACTAGCAACGGGGATGGGATTAAGATCCTGAATCTGGGCGGAGTTCAATCTCGATTTTCTGCACTTGTCCACAAACGCGGCCAGATTCAGGCTTTCAATCCAATCCTTTTTGCTAGTGGGACCTCACCCCTGGGTACTCTTTCTGCAACTACCGGTAGTTGGGAAAACGGCCTTCTTGCCTTGACTTGATTTGTATAACCGTGCGACTGTTCTGTTTTTTTTCATTTTTTTTACAAATGCATGTGGAATAAGCAAAGGGCTGCCATGATACTCACATTTCTCCTTCAGGGGAGCTCGCTCCCACTACGGTGAATAGAGCTGTATCGAGACGGAAAGATGGCTCCCGCACAGCTATAAAGCCCGTACGTTGTATTCGGGGAAAGAAGGTAGCCACCGTGGGATAAGATGTCGGTCTACCCGCGCCAGAGCTGTAGGACACTGAAACGTCGCTGGAAAAGAATGTAAGGAGAAAAACATTTGTGGCGCATTCACATCCGCCGGCATGAGCAGGTATGAAACGTATAATAGCGGTCTTTCCGTCCAGATACATTTCAAGGGTTGTTTCTGGAGATGCCTGCAACAACAGCGGAGGGCGCTTAAACGCTGTATATGCAGTCGGGACGAATCGTATTTAACTGTTCTAAACAGTCAAAACAAAATGTTCCATTTGTTTTCCTCCTTGTTTTTTCTTTTCCTTTTTTTTGAAAACGAACGAGAGTGTATCTTCCCCTAGAGCATGAAAAGATACACCGCCATGGTTTCGTTTCTGGTCTTCCCTTGCATATCGAGACTACCTTCTTCCCCCGAATACAACGTACGGTCATTTTATAGCTGTATCTAGACTGAAAGATGCCTCAAATACAGCTATAATGACCGTACGTTGTATTCGGGGGAAGAAGGTAGTCGAGCGAGGCTCTCTGTCTACTTCGTCGATTCTGTTCATACACACCATACGCCTTCCGGCCGGCCACTTCTTTTCTCATGAAAATCGGCGAGGACTTGCGGACCTCAAAAAGCCGGCGATGGCGTTGCAGACCTCGCAGAACAGGACGTCGGCAACGTCACGCAGTTGTTTGTCATTGCATATCATTCGCTCCGCTACTCACCAAAATGCACGAAATGAGAATGAATCTTCCGCAAAAACCTGGGAAGAGACATCCACCGCCATATTGTTTTGTCTTTTGTGCATGTCGTGAATAGTGGAGCGCGGCGGCCCTATACCAAAACTCGCCATAGCGACCCCTCTGACAAGAGTGACAGACAGACTGAGACGACTCGGCGCCTCCCTCCACTGCACAACACTGGACATGCATTTGGACGCTTTAGGGACCAGATGCATTCGGAAGATTCCGACGTTGTGCATGTGTCCGGTCAAGAAAGCGTCCCGAGATGGCCTGGTGTTCTGTAGCGCAGCGAGCGCCTCAGGACCTCGCCACACCACTGTCGAAACGAAAGACGTACGAGTGCCCCTTCTTCCCCCTGAGATGGCCCTCGCTGCACTGCTCTTGAAATGCACAAAAGACAAAAATCATTGCCGTGTATTTTTCCATATTCTACCGGAAGATTCACTCTCGTTTTGCACATTTAGAGACTAGTGCAGAGATAGGCCCAATGGCTAGATGCATCCGTTACTGGCAAAAGCAACGGATGCATCTCACCACTTTCTTGGGAAGATACTTTCGTTATTTCTTCTTTTCCACTGTGATGTGACCCTCGTTCTCATTTCGCACATTTTGCGAGTAGTCAATGCAGCTACGCCCGTCTGTACATCATTTGCAATTTTGCACTGACGTTGCCGACGTCCTGTACCTGCGATGTCCAGAACGCCATCACCGACTTTGGCAAGGCCCTCCCTCACCAACCGACTTTCTAAGTGAACGCTTGTGAGCACCCTGTTTGCTACAAAGCCCAAGGGTCCAACAGACAGAAAAAAATGACACACAACAGCTACCAGGCTGCGATGCGATTGGTTTACTTGCTACACGACATGAAGGGGCCAATAGACAAACAATGTTGTTCGAGTTGCAGCCGGAATGTGCTCAGCTCTTTTTTCTTCTCTCTCTCTCTCAATTCCAGCTTTCACTACCTACCTACCATCCACAATTCCTAAGCCTTTACAGGGGACCTCTGCGAGCGTAGCCACCTCTCGCAATTAAGGGAGGGACCGGGACGTCTTGGTGACTTTGGCTACTTTGCAATCGAATAACGTTGTGATTAGAAAATAGAGTAGAGGTGAATTCCGTCTATCTTTAGACTCGTTTTTCGTTCGTTAGTTTTATAACTACGCTACGTTCTCTCCCAAATCTTTCATCACCTTCCAAATTCTTTCTATTCATCTTGACAACCTGCCTACCACCACTCCTAAGGCTTATACAGGGCACCCCTGCGAACATAGCTTTGGTGTCTCCTCTCCCCCCAGCCGTCAGACGGGATGCCTGTTGCCCCCCCGGCTCAACCATGGTGGTCAAGGATGGGGTGTGGCTCCGCCGGTGGGGGTCCGGCTAACGCAAAGACCCATCATTTTTCCTAAAGTAGCTGCGCCTCCCTTTTCATCGTCCCCAACCCCCAACAGCCCGCATAACAGCAGTGTCTAAGGCCAACACCCTCCCACACACCACACACAACCCACTCACACTCGCACTCGATCAGCACAGGTATCACGCGGACTTCCGTTCTCATCTGTACTGACGTTCCCAGTTGCTTCGCGACATCCGGTACCAGACTACTGACGTTCCCAGTTGCTTCGCGACATCCGGTACCAGATGCCATGCGCACAAAACTCCAAAAACTGATATTTTACGCACGAATCACAATGGCTGCGTGCCCGGCTGGGTGGGCGTACTATGCTTTCGCCTTTCACTAAACAATACGTACTTGTGCTGAGCGCAAGTACGTAGCTCACGTGAGTTTTCCGTATTTCCCGAATGCCCGGGCGTGAATGGCCAACTGCATCGATCTACCAACACGCTCCTCCGTGTGCCATGCACTGTCCATGGGCTTCGCTCCATTACTCTCCACATCCAGAAAAGACGAGAATACGACGGTGCATCTTTCCATGTTCTGGAAGGAGATTCATTCTAAATTTGCACGTTCGGTGAGTTAGTGGCGCGACCCCCATCTCTCTTCTTCGAACACGTCGTTCGCTACTCTCCTCAACTGTTTGCCCGGGTGTGACTATGAGAGAAAATCATCTGCGACAACGATTGGGCAAGGCAAATTCAAATGTCAATATGGCCAATTTGAATTTTGTCTTTCCCAAATTTGGCAAGGAGTGTGTTCAAATTCAAACGAAAGCATGCTCACGACTCACATGTGGAATAATTTATTGATGGACATAACTGCTTTTTTAATATGGCCCGACGGACCACGGATCGGATATTAAACTGATCAAGAACAGCATAGGCACTTGCTTGAGCTGCGACGCACAGCACATAAGATCACTGCCTTTCTTTTTCCACAGTGATATTTCAGCTTCCCACTTTCATTGATTTCACGCGCAGTGTGTGTGTTTTTTTGCTCAGGTCCGGATACACATCATAAACACTTAACACTATCTTATTAGCCTAGAGGCCGAGAAAGGTATTGACATGTGTGTGTTTTTTTGCTGAGGTCCGAATACACATCAGAAACACTTACACTTTATCTCTTATTAGCCTAGAGGCCGAGAAAGGTATTGACATGATTCCCTGGTGGTTTTAACGCGGAGTTCATTTGCCATCAGAGTCTTACGAGTTGAATCGGCTTGCGACTTCCGTGCCTAAAGGAACACAATGCCAAAAAACAAGACTTCGGTACTCTCTTCAAGTTCCCCCAAACAACCCAACGCACGACTGTACCGGACGGGGAAAACAACAGAACGCTGCTTGACACGCACAGCCACGTAGGCTTTTTATCGACTCCAACAATAGTAAAGGCCTCATGGTCTCAAATACAACACATCCTGCGGTGGCGCGCCCTTGGACATAAAGGGCTCTTTTCACAAAGCGTCTGCCGATCTTCTTCAGGCCGTTGCTTCCGATGGAAGCAGCACGTCCTTCCAGCGTGTCGACGAAAACCATTTCCGTTCGCGCTGAACACGTCCTGAGGTGTCCATCCAGAAAGCATCATTTCAGATTGACAGCGCAAACAGATTAAAAATTTGGATTTCTCTCTCGAATTTTTTTTTTGGATTCCGACTGTTTCAAACAGTAGTTGGCGATGCGAAAGCGCAAAACCTCGTTGTAACCTAATAATACATCATTTGGAACAAATAGAGTTCTCCGTTTGGAAAGACAACGAGGTTCTCAAGACCGCCACCTAATCTCTAAGGAAAGATAACGAGGACAACAGCGAGCGAACTGCGACGTTAACTGAGGCCATCAACAGAAAAAGAAGGGAGCAACAACCGAGCAAAACGACTCGTCACGAGGTCGTACGCGTTCCTCAACATCACAGCAGTTTCCCATGTCCAAACAGTCAAAGGGAAAACTGCATCCGCACATGCTCCTGCAAGCACATCCGCCAGAGTCCGAGTGCAGAGTCCCCATTCCCCCACCTCCATCTCCGTCCCGCAAATCTCCAACGTTCCCTCACCCCTCCTATAGAGCCAGGCAAGCAGATCAACTTCCCTTCGCTTTACGTGAGTGCACACTTCCTCCTTCACAACGCGCCAAGACAACTTTCCCCACCACGCGAATCCGCGCAAGTCCTCGACGAAGAGTCCGTCGTCTCACACGAAAATGTCGCCGTGTCCTACTAGAGCAAGGCGAACAGGAAGGACTTCACTTGCGCTGCAACCATGAATGCCCGCTTCCCCAATCACAGCACGCCGACACGATTTTTCCCCACGCAATCCGCGCAAGTCCTCGACCAAGAGGCCCCAATCACATCATGATCGTCGAAAACGCCGCCGTGCCCTCATCTCCTGGAGCAAGACAAACAGGAAGCACTCCACTTAGGCCGCACGAATGAATGCCCCGCTTCCCCATTCACAGCGCGCTGAGCGCAAATCGGCGCAAGTCCTAGACCAAGGATCCCCCATCACCTGATTATCGTCGTCTCACACCGAAATCCCGCCGCGCCCTCAACTCCTAGGGCAACGCAAACAGAATAAGACTCCCCTTCGGCTCCAAGAATGAACGTGCGCTTCCCCATTCACAGCGCGCTGAAACTCGAAACAACTGCACGCACATTCACAAAAAAAGGCCGAACAACAATTTACCGTCAGCTAAGTGCAATGGAACAGCTTCTTTCAGAGAACGTTCTTTTCAATCAGTCGATCACACAATTCAAAGACGACACGTACTGTCAACTGCCAAGGAAGAGGGAGATGTCAACATCCAGGGCGTTTCACGGCTGGAATGAAAAACGTATACTCCTCGCTCAGATCCTGGTCGAAGAGCGCAGCCATTCGACGGCGGCGCAACAATCGCCTGAGGGTTAAGTTCCTCACGACGTGCTTGTACGCTTTACCCTTCTTTATAGACCTCTTATACAAGAAGGGTAGACTCAAAAGTTGCCCTAAATACACCTATAATGACAAAGCCTTTATTCGGGTAATAAAGAAAGGCCGACTTCAGATCGTGCACGGAAAGAGGGAACAGAGGAGAAATGCTTGAAGCGTTCAGCACGCAAACGTGCAAGGAAACCAAGCTGCTGATGGGAGGTTAGCAAAACTTCTGATATCCTCGAAAACAGCTATAGTAATGACAGTACGTTTTATTCGGGTACACAGACGGTAGTAAAATACAGAAGGCCAATCTCAGATCGTGCACAGAAAGAGGAGGGAACACGGTCAGATACGAAAACCTGCATTGTGTTTGCCCAACGACCGACCAACGCACACGAAAAAAACCGAATTCGCGCAACGACCAGGTTCATCGCACGGGAGGAATACGCGAAGAGTTTAATGTTGATGATCAGCAGGGTGGTGTGAGGTAAATGTAGAGACCACGACAGGGAGATGGGAGGTGAAGGTATAGACCAAATCCGCGCAACAACGGGTTCGTTGTAAGGGAGGAATACGAGTTCAGCACGCAATCGTCTTAGGAAGACAGGGTGATGGGAGGTTAGACATGTTCTGCCATCCCCCGCAAATCATGATCATGATGAGCGTGGCGACCATATTCGCGCAACGACGAGGGTTCTTGTAAAGGAGGATGACCATATTCACGCAACGACGGGGGTTCTTGTAAGGGAGGAATACTCAAAAGAGTTCAACACAGAAACGTGTAAGGAAGACACCGTGATGGAACATTGGAGAAGGTCCGCTATCTCCCCAAGTTTATGATGAAGGTAGCGCGACACATGAGCGAGGCGCACTTCCCCCATCGCGATAGCAAGATAGGTAGAGATGTGACATAAGCAGCTGATACCGTCTCCGTGGGGTCGGCAGACGTACGTCATTCATACGCGTACGGGCCGCGCACCAGCCCTCACCACACGCACAAACTACAAAATTGAGGGTGTTTATTTCCACGTTCTACCGCAAGAGTCATTTTCACAAGATTCATTTTCATTCGTCCTTTCGGTGAGTGAAAAGCGAGCCCCTATACTATCGTTAGGGAGATTAACTTCGAGGCAGATCAGACAACAGCAGCGGGTCGAACATTCCGCGTGGGTCGACCACATGCCCGGCCCCGCATGCGGGAATGGTCAAGAAAATGATCATCCCTTCCTCGCTAAGGCCTCACCTCTCGGGTGATTTGGGCTGCTCCTTATTTTTTTATTTGTTATTTGTTTTTAAATTCTAAAAGGGCGACGGCCTTGAGATATTATCATTGAGCCGACCGGCCCCAAACAATTCATTAGTAGTTGGTTGGTTTTACTTGTCAAGTTCCATCATGTGGCTTCGAACACAGCACCTGGTCTGTATTTCAACAGTTCATCGGTGTACACACTGACCTAGGCTCTTGGGTGTCCTCCTGATTTTAATCTTGCCAAGAATTTGCATTACTCAGCATTTCAGTTTATGCGCACACCTTCGCTCTCTCTCTCTCATGAATTACCGATTTCCATAATCCTCGATGTTCGTTTCCACGGCCGGGACAGAAAGTGCTTAGCAAACGATTAAAAAAAACGAATACGCAATGAGCATACTCCTCAGCAGAGCTGGAAAAGGTGAACCGTTCAAGATTTGCCCTCAAAAACATTCCAGTTTGATGAGGTCTCGTCTGAAACAATCGTTTTCATCACTCCATACAAGTCGTAACCTAGTCCGTTTATTTTACTCAATCTGATATATAGAATTGCATTCATTTCCATTCCAACACCTAATCCGTTTATTTTACTCAATCTGATAGAATTGCATTCGTTTCAATTCCAACTTTCCAAGGATGACCAGTTTTCCACCCAAAACTATTCCTGCTCCTGTCCCTCTTTTTTTTTTTTGGAACAAAAACCAGCCACGGGTCCACTAGGGAGGGTGGTAAAAGCAGCCCCCTCTAGGTCCACTAGAGGGGGTCGTAAGAGCAGCCCCCTCTAGTGTGCTCTCGCTGGCGGCACCAATCTATTGGTCGGGAGCCGCACCTTAAAACTCTCATAATCTGTCGATCATCAACATTATCTGAGATATTCAATACACCTATCACAACAAAACAGTGCAAAGCACAGCAACAATAGCGGAGGGCACTTGTATACATGATACGTCCAGGCTCATACTCGAATCTCACCATCCATTCGCGATTGCCTCACTCAACTCCCCACCATCATACCTCTATCACCAATGAACATAAGCACATATATTCAATATACATATCCCCAAATTAGTGCAGATGTAGGAACAATAGCGCAAGGCACTTGTATGTGCTATGTGCAACGCCACGCACTTGAGCGAATCTCACCATATACTCGTGATTGCCTCCCTCACGATCGAATAAGACAGCATATCCACACGGAAACGTTTCCCCCTCCCTGTACATCTCCCCGAAATGCAGTTACATTCATGCCGTTAAGTCCTCGCATGACGATTCCCCACGGCGTGACCGAGTTACTATACACCTGCCCGACTCAGCGTTGGCCGCTAAACCCATCCAGTAGCGAAGCACATAATTATCATACCATCTAATAAGAACTCAAATCCCCGAATGACGATGGAAATCGACATACATAATATGTCACACTGGGGCCAATTCGGATTTACGTGCGACACTTCAATCAACCAGTACCGAGAGAGAGAACCTTCGACTACACGACACACATCATTTACCCTGGACACACATTGAACATGGGGCCTCGCTCCACTATATACTTCACATGCATTTGGACGCCTTCTGGACCAGGTGCATTCGGACGAGTCCAACATTTTCAAAGGATCGGGTCCAGAAGTGGATCCAAACGCACGTAGAGTGTTATGCAGCAGGCGCCGATGGACACACACAGGAGCGCACGCCTCCAATACGTCGACAACTCAACATGCAACTGGATCCCTCTGGACCAGGTGAATTCGGACGAGTTCAACATTTTGAAAGCATCGGGTCCAGAAATGGATCCAAATGCACGCAGAGTGTTGTGTAGCGGAGCGAGGCCCATGGACATACAGAGAATCGCACGCCGCCAACGTCGAGACGGCAAGGCCAAAGGGAAGGTAGAAAGTCGTCAATCAGGGGTCCATAATGCGCCCGAGTGCAGTTCAAAGACAGGGAAGAGAGAAACTCGACATGCACAAAAGACAAATCATGGCGGTGTATGTTGCCATGTTCTAGCGGTATATTCACTCTCGTTTTGCACATTTCATGGAGGTGTATCTTGCCATGTTCTAACGGAATATTCACTCTCGTTTTGCACATTTCAAGAGTACCGGAGCCACAGGATCGCGAAAAGGAGGTTTCATGACGGAAGTAAAAAATGGCAGAGTTTGACAGCTCATGGAAATCCTCAGAATTAAAGAGCATAGACCGCTCATGCAAATCCTCATAAGAATTAAAGAGCGTAAGGCACTCACTAACCTGAAATCCTCGACAGAATTAAAGAGCATAGACCGCTCATGCACATCCTCAAAAGAATTAAAGAGCGTAAGGCACTCACTAACCTGTGCAACTTGGATATTCTTCAGTGATCGCGCTAACGATTTCTCCTCCCGCTCAAAAGCCGAAAATCAGTCGATGACGTAACCATTCTCTCCGATATCCAACTGGCTCAGCTTCAAAATTTTCACAAGCTTGAGGCTGGTACTCCCTTACTCCACAAGCATTATACGGAAGAAGAAGAGAACTGTACCGTACTTCTTTGGGCAGAGACGCACACTTGATTGCGATCTACTTTTTACGACCTTCACCAGACAGCATATGTAGTGCGAAATCTCCACCTCGATTTCTCGCTGAAAACCCAGCGAAGAATATGCAGACTGCCCTCCTTACTACCGCTGCTCACATGCTTGAGGCGAATATGCAGACTCCCTCCCTCCCTCCCTAATTCCGTTCACATGAACCGCACTTCTTTGGGAAGAGTACCGTATTTCTGTGGGGCCTAGTTTTACTACCTCCAGCAGACCCACCTGCAGACCGAACTCCCCAACTCGACGATTTCTCGCTGGGAAGCCAGCGACACTCCCTCACTCCCTCCCTCTCCTCAAATCATTCCCCATGTCATCGACGACACCGGCAATCGCTTATTCGATGAAATTCGCTGGAATGCTCAGATTTACATCCACGAAAAGAACGGCAAAATTGGATCGTCGAAAATCGACATCTGCATCACTTCAGATTAACTCGTCTAACATCGTCATCATCATCATCATCATCATCATCAAGTGCTAAAATGCTTTCCGTCAAATTTCGACGACACGATACCATTAACAGACTCGGAACTCGTTCCAACAAAAACAATCAAAATGAGAAACAACGAGACCGATCATCGGATGGGACAGCGTTGAACGATCGAATCGCTTCTTAGCACACGGTCAAGTCACATTATTAACAAAGACGACAACAGCCCAACTCCCGCATCCCGTCAAAATGGAACTGCAGAAGAGAACTGCCAACTTGCACAAATGAATGAAACGAAATTGATGACTACACTTTTACAGTGTAGCAAAAGAATCTGTCGACCAACAGACATATCCTAAGGCCTGCACAGTTCCGAAGTAAAGAATTAACAACGAAAAACGGGGAAAAAAAAAAATCGAAGTGAACGAGTGTATCTACCGCCTAGCTACGTCCTACCAGCTACTTATCTAGTCATTGGACCATCATCTAAGAAGCCAAACACAAACCACGAAAAGCTCATTCACAAGAATCACTTCAGACCACCTCCCTCTTCCCTCCTCCCATCTCAGACTTACTCAACAATACCTCCACCCTTTCCCCACGTTTGACAATTTATCAAACACAGCAGCACATTACACTCCTCAACCCTCCTCTCATCCTTAATCCCTCCTATCTAATTCCTTCCACGGACCACGTAGAAATCTTCACGCGAATGATAACTTCTTGATAAGCCATGGCCCTTCGCACTGCCTATTCCACAGGGCAAGCAATGGAATGGACATCAGTTAGGACGGCAGAAAACGAGCCTCGAACAGCGTCGAGGCCATAATCACCCTCATCATAATCATCTTCATAAGCATAATCATAATCATCATCATCATGTTATGAAGATGTAGCGGTCACGAGTCCGTATGCGCACGACATCCAGATATTTTCCTGTTCTTCGGACACGTTGGACACGCATTCGTTCGCAAGGACAGAATCGCCCAATATCCCGGAGATCACCGCCCTCTCTCCCCATCCTGTCGTGTCGTTAATTACGTACTGATAATAAAAAACCTAAATCGACATCGAAACCACCATCGCCCAACCCAACACCCCCCACTAGAAATCAATATGAGTCATCAACCACTTGTCCGTCTCCGACGAGACCCCCCGCCTGCGATAATCTGCTTGCGCCGCCACCGCCTTCGTAGCGTTGACCGACTTGTTCTTCTGCACCTTCGTGTCAACATGCTTTGTAGACGCAGCAGCTCTCTGAGATGACGACGAGGTAGTCTTCTGCGCACCCTTACTCACACCAACCACGGCCTTCCAGTTGATAGGCTTCATGCTGTGCATGTCATCCACTAGCGCGATCCCACTCATTTTCGCTCTCAAATAACGCCGCCGCTTTCTCTCACAACCACCACTACCAAGTGCTAAGCGCTGCAGAAGCTCTTCCGCTCCTTCACACCTGGTCACGGACTCGAACGAACTATGCCACTGGACTTCACCACTCGACCAACTGCACTTGCGTGCTGCACAGCCACTCAATAGCGTTCCAAAACTCCGAAACAACTCTCGGGTTCACCACGCTTTTCGCAATTTCAACAGATATTTGCAATGGCGACAATCCTGCAGATCGTTAACTGACCGAAACACACAAAGAAGATACGGACAAGGTAAACTCGCACGCACGGTTCTCTCTCTCCCTCTCTCTCTTCTCTCTCTCTCTCTCTCTCACACACACACACACACACACACACACTCGCGATCGCGAACGAGTCTCTACAAAGCCTCCTCCCTCTACACAACACAATCGAGACACACTTCAAGCTCTCCGAAGCTCTCGTTCGTCTTTTGTTCGCTCAACCCTCGTTTTCGCACACTCAGTTTATACGAAGTCGTATCACTTCACTGCTTCAGAACGCACAAAACCTCTACAGTTTATAATATCGCTTCATCAGTTCTTCAGATAGCTCTTGACAGTTCGCATCGCCTCTTGCGTTTCAACGATCACCACCGTCCCTCTGGCTGAATATATAGACGCCCGCAAAGAGACACGAGAGCTACTAGATACGCCTACGGTGGCACTTCGCAGTTGCGTAGGACGGCGGAGTCGCCAGGAGAAGGCTTGGGCGTGCGGTTGAGCCTCTCTTTTTTTTGCCCTTTTTGAACGCTTTTTCCCTCTTTTTTGTTTTTTGTTTTGCGTGGGTGGTGGGAGGCACCGGCGGAAGCGACGAGTGAAAAGACGAGGCCTTCACTTTCCATCATTTCCCCGCCACTTGTCGTCGAGTGCGCTTTTCGGGAGAGGGGGGTATCAGATAGGACCGGAGGGAAGCCTATTGAATGGAATATATGAATATATATGAATGATGAATATTATCGGGCATCTTCCCCCTCCACTTACAATTACACGTTGTAAGCGAAAACGACGTACAGACTTCTTTTTATTCGAACACAACGTATACCCGGGTCTATCAGAACCGCCCTAATGTTATGGAAACTCGAATACAACTCATACAAGTTATGTTCCGGGGGAGGGGGGGTAGCAGCGTTGAGTTTCCTCAAGTTGTGTGTTTGCTCTTGGGAAAACTCAACGCTATTTCTGCACAATCTTATAGTCACGCCCAGATTCAGGAGTTGAGGAAACTCAACGCTGCTACCGGTTGGACTTGGCCGCCGGTTGCCTTTCCCTTTCCGTACGGCACAAGAGGACACCAGAAAGGTGGCCCACTTTTTGGGACGGTCCTCCCTCTTCGGGCCGCGCGCCAAGCGGTGCGCACGTAGGAAAGTCCATTGAATATGACTCTTCGCTATGAATATAGACGTAATTGCGACCGCGTTAGGTGGTTGTTTGGCTCGTCCCTTGCCCTCTCTCCCCCCAGTTGTTGAGCTTGCCCTCCCTTTTCCCCGCAGGGCACCCGAAAGTTGGCCCCACTTTCTGGGACGCTCACTCCCTCTCTGGGACCCGCGCCACGCGGCTATCGCGCTCCAAGGCCAAAAATTGAAAGAGAGAAAGCCAAACTTTTGAGCGCATTTGGACAGTGGTATGTCCAGATGCATTTAGAATCTTGACGAATGGGGAGTGGTCGTACTCAGCCCCGAGTCACTGGATGGGAACTCCATTTTGGCCGCCTTTTCTTTCTTTTTCTTTTTCTTTTTTTTTGCCTTTTTCTGTTTCGCACTTTCCCTGTCCTTCGAGGGGGAAAAAAAAAGACAAAAAAAACGGAGGTTTCTAGAAAACAAAAACAAAACAACAACAAAAAAAAACAAAGGGACGGTTCTATGTACAACGTACGCTTTTTGGACGACAATGGTAGTTTTCCTTTTTCCTTTTTTCCCACGTTGGACGGCAGTGGTGGAGGTTTTCCTGTTCAGGCGGTAGGTACCTTGAAAGGCGGGATGCAGCCCTCGGCCGCAAATTGCGACCGCCGGCTGGCGACTGGCAAACAGGCAGGCAGGAAAGTGCACTTTTTTCCTTTGATGGCCGAGCAATGCCAAATGGCAAGACCAATTCCCTGCAGACTGACGTAGGCTGCTGATTGGGAAGGAACGAACGGCTGAGAGGGAAACGACCAGAGCACCGTCGAACGCAGCTGTAGGGTGAAAAAATATCTTTTGACGTGAGGCCGTACGGATAACTGGAGAGGCGGGCGATACGCGCATCCGATAGCCCGCCTCAGGATGTAATGCATACGGTGGAATGAAAGTTTTGCGTCAGTATCGCTATGAACATGTTCACACATGACTGTGGATACGTCAGGCCGTCATTTCATGTGATGTAATGAGGCCCCGGACCTCACACAAACCTGGAAAGTCATGTGACCAGTACCCCACGTCGGTTTCAACTGAGGGCATACTCACACGGGGACCTATGACCTTAAATCAGTTTTCGGGTCGCACTGGAGAGGCTGGCTGCAAATGCCTCAAATGGTGAACCTTCTATCAGCAGCCTGTGGGGCCGCCGGAGGACCCTTTTTGAGATCACCTCCAGAGGTGCTCTCAAATGACCTTTCGATTTTTTTTTCCCATCTTACCTTATTGCCAAAAATCGTCGATGAAGAAAACAGCCTGCCAAATTGTCTACCGCGTGGGCGCGGGGAACTCAGCCCTATGGTAGCCAAATAAGTGAGACTAAGAGCTCGCATGAGAGAGAGAGAGAGAGAGAGAGAGAGACTTAGTTTTGTTCCATTTATTGATCGCAGCCCATCAAGGGTGCTTTTTATGCCCATGAGAACATTTTTCGTCATCGTTCGTTATAGGGTCGTTGGAAGGCTGGAAAAGAAAGGCATGGCAGTTTAGTGGGTGGTGGTGTGACGAACCACTTTCTGTGCCGCGCGACTTTCTGCGCGATGACAATGAGGCGTCCTGAGATGGGAGGGATGGGCAAATTGCGGGAGGTGGGATCGGCGGTAAATGGCGTCAGTGTCCTTGCTTCTTTCTTTTCCTTCGCTTCGCTCCTTCCCCTTCAGCGGTGATGGGACAGGCCCGGGACAGACGGTTGAGTGTGCGCGCCCCGTTGGGCGCGATCTATAACGGTTGACGATGGTTCTTTCTTGCTCTGCTGGGAGTAAAAGGAGGGAACGGAGATTTTTGGCGCGATGATCGTGCGGGAGCTTTTCATTTTTTCTTTTTAAATTTTCCTTTCAACTAAGGACGAGCCCCCGAGGGCGCTCATAATTTTTTTATTTCTTTTTGCTCTTTTTTTCCGTCTCGTCGGAATTTTTCTGTTGCAATTTTGAGCTCAAATAGGAATTTAGGACTTTTTGAATTTCTTGTCGAGCGGCGCCTATTTCTTGCACGCATCTTCCTGCGGCGGGAACGAAGTTCTGACTAAGTGGCGCCCATAATCTTGCATGCAACTGTAGTAGTTGGGCGGGCGCCATTGTAACTGTATCATTCTTCTTGTTCCCTCGCCTTCTTCCCGCCCGTCTCCCCTTCTTTTTGCTGCATCTGCTTGGCCTGAACGCTGCATGCCTAGATCGATGCGTGGAGAGTGGCTACATCCCCCACGCGGCGATCTGGCCATGCCAAGCGTAGGCACTTCCTTCTCTGCGCCTCTTTCCAATCCCTGCAACCTCCCATCTTCACGCACGCATGCATGTTATAAATTTCTTCGGCGCGATTAGCTAGCTCTCTTAAAAATTTTGGAAGCTCGAGGTTAGCGCGATCAGTGAGGGTCGGCTAATGAGCAAAGTAAGAGGTGAGTTGATGTGGGAGTTGGGCGACCCAACGAGCTGGTGCCAAGTGCGCGGGGTTGGCGTGTAGGCCACGGCGGACTGTGGCGCACGGGCGAACCTGACGGGCACATGCGGACTAAGCGGGGTGACAACTTCGTGGGTGGGTGCGAGATGACGGACTGTCCGCATCAGAGAGAGAGAGAGAGGGGAAATAGGCGGAGGTGGGATTGCAATATTCTTTGTCCTTTCTCAGTCCTTGTATATAAATTTTTGGCTCCGGGCGAGACGCCCTTGTTTTGCATTTTGACATTTCTTTCGGCTTCGTGTGATGTACGGCTCGATCTCTGTCCTCCCTCTTTCGTTTTGCATTTGTTGGATCTTGTAATACGTAATGTTTTGCGTGCAATCCTTAATCATTCCGCACCCGCAGCGCCGATCTATTCTCACCCGGATGATTGGTAGGTGAAGGGAGTTTCATATTGTTGTGGTGCTTCGATGTATGTTTGGATGACGATGAGATATCCCTCTGATGGCCACGTTACTGTTTTTCGCTCGAACAAGAATGGCTGAGAGACTATTGCATGACCACATAAACCTTCTTTTGCATGGATGATTGGCTGATGGATCGATCCACAACGGACCAACCCCGCGAGTCCCCGTGTAAGCACGATCTGACGAGCGTGACTTACACTCGCACCCGCGAGGCTGGCCCTCAACCCCGAATGGGCGTAGCACGACAGATCTCGACGTAAATAACGGAGTCTTCATCCGCGGTACGGGTCGGGACAAGTTAAGGCCGGACGTCACACGGGAACCACTGGGTGTGCATACTGTGCGAATGTCCAGAACGGAACAGATTGATAGCCTGAGGGAACTAGCTGCATGGTTGAGCCGGTACGCGGGCGGATCGTCCTTGATTATTTGCGCGTTTTAAGATCTGACTAACTCGCCAGTGCGCATGCTCATATAAGACAGCAGTCATCCACGGACTTGCCATTTGTACACGCACTTGCAAAAACCAGCTACCACCTCGCCCCGTAGGAAGATTTGTGTGAACGAGATATGGCGACAGATTCCCCTTTCTGGATCACTGATCGTGCAAGCCTGAGGGACCCCGAATACCGAGCGTATTGGGAGAGGGAACAGATCTGTCGGCAGTGGATCCGACAACATCGCCACCTACGGAACCCCGGGTACCGTGAGTACCCTTGCCGGACTGAAAACTAGCGACTGTGCAGGGGCGACTTCCAGCTGGCAATCAACCGAGACCCATGGATTCCTGATTATCCCGATAGCCGAAACCATAAATATCTTCTAACCCCAAGCTTCGTTGCCATTATGATCACCACTCACTTCCCTCCATACTATACCGTCCTCCCTTTCCACCGGTTACTCGTGGTCCCCTGCAATTTCGTAGCCCGGTTCTGGCCCCGACCGCCGTGCTCAGAGTGTCGGCGGCCCGACGAGCATTGGCAGGCGAGGGTTGCGCAACGAGCCCATCCCAGGACCGAGCGACGAGAACCCAGCTCGTCTTCATCGCGCCCCGAAACTTGCGACGGCCGGCAGCGGTACGAACACTCCCACAGAGACGCCCGTGACACCGCACCCCGGCCCAAGCAGCACGATCGATCATCGCCCCAACTTTGAGCCAGAAGACACTTGCACTCCTACCCCTGAGACTTGCCACAGGAGATCTCAGTTCCGACATGGGACTCCACCCCAAATCCCCAAAAATCCTTGGCACACCCCTTTTTCGCACTTCCGGGCCCCCATCCCACTCCGATCAGGAGGTCGTGTTGGGCGTGAGGTTGGTATCGGAGCCGACACGTGGCGAACTCACGGGGAAGTAAGCAGGAAAGACGTTCAGACGATCTGGCGAATAGAAGACGGCCTAG